GATTATAAGGTACACATTTTTAATGATATTACGTCTACCACATTACTGGCACAATTACTAACCTAACTCATTTACCTCCTACATCACTACCACAACTCAGACCTATACCTGGAGGTGCAGGAGCAAAGAGTCAGGAATGTCACACTGAACCAGAAAAACACAATGATGTCACTGAACTTGGATGCAGCACAGGAATCTGAAGACTCTGGTAATGCCAAAATGGGAGAGGGGAAGGTCACTGAGAGCTGGTGGTTGGTCAAAATAGCCAGGGATGTGATGCATAAAGAATTCAAGAGAAGTGTGGGGTGAGTGTGATGAAAAGAGGAGGAATGGGTGATGAAGAAATGCTTTAGGAAAAAGCCCTAAAGTTAACCTTGGTTTTGTCTCCCAGGTCCTTTCGTGGCAGGCCTGGTCTCCATTCCAGGGATGGGCAAGCTGATGACTAAGGCTACTATTCAAGACACATTCATGAACTTCTCCTCCAACATGGTCTCAAATGTCACCTCTGCCTTTCTGAGCATTAATAACACCCAGAAGCTCAAATCCCCAGTCACCTTCACCTACTTTCACCCTGTGAGTCCTGGATGGGTACAGAATGAGTGTGGAAGGAACCTGAGTCCTGAGCTCATCCTTTCTGCTCACTTCAGCCTTGGGACTCAGGATGCCACTATGGGCATACCATCTCCCCAAGAACATCACCTTTCCCAAACCAGCTTTGTGTCAGCATCTCTGAGTACCAGTACCGCTAGCTTACATCTTTGTTCTGTTCCAATAGCCAGTGACCGCAGGACCAGGACAGAAGGTGGTCTGTGCCTTCTGGGAACATGGACAACATGGATGTGGTCACTGGGCCACCACAGGCTGTGATACAGTGGGCTTTAATGACACCACCACCATCTGCCACTGCAACCACCTCAGCAGCTTTGCCGTCCTCATGGCTCAGAATGTGCAGGTAAGAGTATTGAAAGGAGATGTATTAGTTATCCTTTTCAGTATAACAAATTACCACAAAATTGGCAGCTTAAAAATCACAATTTTATTATGTCATAGTTTCTGTGGGCCACAAATCCAGACCAGAGCAGCTGTGTTCTCTGAACAGGGTTTTACAAGACTGAGATCAGATTTTAGCTGGGGTTTTGATCTTATCTGAGTTTTGGGGTCCTCCATGTTCACTGCTTATTGGCAGAACTCAGTTCTTTAGGTTGTGTGACTCGCACCTCATATTCTTACTGTCAACTAGGGAGTGCATTCATCATTCTTTCCCAGATGGCTTCTCACATGACCTCTCATGGGACCCAATCATAGGTCCTCTCATAGCATAGAAGTATTCCTCTAGAGCAGGGATGGGATTTTTTTTTTTTTTTTTTTTTTTTTTGCCAAGGGCCATTTGGATATTTATAACATCACTTAATATAAATGTATGTTGCTATGAAAAAAGCTTACCTGTAGTTGCCTTGGCAGGGCCAGACCAAATGATCTTGCTGACCTATACAGTCCTTGGGCCAGACATTCCCCACCCCTGCTCCAGAGGCTAGCAAGAGACTATCCCTTGCATCAAATCCTTCTTGAGCTTTGCATCGCTACCTCCAAGAGGAGACTAGACCCTTTAAAGGCCCGCTGGATTACGTCAGGCCCACCCAGGATAATCTTCCTCTTTGTAAGTCAACTCCTTAAAAAAGCAAGTCAAACCCCATTGTCATCAAATTGATTCCAACTCATGACATAGCAGAGTAGAAACTGCCCCATAGGGATTCCAATGTTGAATCCTTTACAAAAGCAGACAGCTAAATACTTCTCCTATGAAGTGACTAGTGGATTTGAATAGGGGTATTGCTGTTATTGTCAGATGTCACCAAGTCAATATTGGCTCAAAATGCAAGAGAAACACTGCCCAGTCTTTCGCCAAACTCACAATCATTACTAGGCTTGAGCCCATTGCTGCTGTCACTGTACTAATCCATCTCTACTTCACTGATCCTCCACTTCAGCAAGGGACTGTTCCCTCCTAATAATATGTCCAAAGTAAGAGAGAATGAGCCTGGAAATACTGCTTCTAAGGACTATCTGGCTGTACTTCTCCCAACACAAATTTGTTTGCTTTTTCTGGCACTCCATGGTACTTTTAATATTCTCTTTGATCACCATAACTCAAATGCATCAATTCTTCTATGGTCTTCCTTACTCGTTGTCCAACTTTCACATGCATATGGGGCTATGGAAAATACCATGGCTTGGCACAGATGCACCTTAGTCCTCAAACTGACATCTTTGCTCTTGAACATTTTAAACAGGTCTGTGCAGTAGATTTTCCTAATGCAACATGTCATGTGATTTCTTCACTGCTGCTTCAATGAGTGTTGATGGTTGATCCCATAAAAGTGAAGTCATTGACAACTTCATCTTTTCTCCATTTACCATGTTATTTACTGGTCCAGTGGTGAGGATTTTTGTTTGCTTTATATTGAGGTGCAACCTATACCAAAGGCTGTGGTCTTTGATCTTCATCAGTATTTTAAGTCCTCTTCACCTTCACCAAGCAAGATTGTATTATCTGCAATTGCAAATTGTTAATGAGTCTTCCAATCCTGGTGCCACATTTTTTTTCATATAATCAGCTTCTTGGATTATTTGTTCATCATACAGATTGAATCAGTATGGCAAAAGAATGCAACCATGGCACACACCTTTCCAGATTTTAATCCATTTAGTAGCCCCTTGTTCTGTTCGAACAACTGCCTCTTGGTCTATGTACAGGTGCGTCATGAGCACAATTAAGTGTTCTGGAATATTCATGCTCCACATTGTCATCCAAAGCTGTCATGATCCACACAATCGAAAGCTTTGCATAGTAAATAAATCACAGGTAAACATCTTTCTGGTATTCTTTACTTATAACCAAAATCCATCGTATGTCAGGAATGAGATTCCTCATTCCACATTCCTATCTGAATCCAGCCTGAAACTCTGGCAGCTCCCTGTAAAAGTACTACCACGGTCATTTTTCCAATTATCTTTAACAAAATTTTACTTACATGTGATATTAATGATATTGTCTTATTCCTGCATTCTGTTGGATCGCCTTTCTGTGGAATGGGCACAAATATGAATCTCTTCCAATAAGTTACCCAGGTAGCTGTCTACCAAATGCTTGGCATAGATGAGTGAGTGCCTCCAGTGCTGCCTCAGTTTGTTGAAAGAATTTAATTTGTATCCAATTGATTCCTGAAGCCTTGTTGTTTGCCAATGCCTTAATGCCTTCAATGCACCTTGAACTTCTTACTTCAGTATCATTGATAATATGCTACCTCTTGAAATGGTTGAACTTTGACTTCCCCACCCCCCTTTGGTAGAGTGACTCTGTGTATTCCTCCCATCTTCTATTGATGCTTTCTACATCATTCAATTTTCCCATTGTTCTTGTTGTTAGGAGCCATCGAGTTGGCACCTACTCATAATGGCCCTACGTACAACAGAACAAAACACTGCTCAGTCATGCACCAACCTCATAATCATTGCTATACCTGAGCCCATTGCTGCTGCTACTGTGTCAATCCATCTTATTGGGGTCTTTCTCTTGTTTTCTAACCACACCAAAGATGATATCCTTCTCTAGGGACTGGTCCCTCCTGATAATATGTTCAAAGTATGAGAGTCTAGTCATCCTGGCTTCCAATGAGCATTCTGACTGTACTTCTTCCAATACAGATTTATCTGTTTGTTCTTTTGGCAGTCAATGGTACTTTCAATATTCTCCTCCAATGCCATAACTCAAACACATCAATTCTCCTACAGTCTTCCTTACTTACTATCCAGATTTCACTTGCATATGAGGTTATTTAAAATTTGATGACTTGGTTCAGGTGCACCTTAAGCCTAAAACTGACATCTTTGCTCTTGAATCCTTTAAAGAGATCTTGTGCAACAGATTTGCCTAATGCAAAATGACATTTGGTTTCTTGACTGCTGCCTCCGTTGATGTTGATGGCTAATCAGAGCAAAATGCAGTCTTTGACTACTTCAATCTTTTCTCCATTTATATGGATGTTGTTTATTGGCCCTGTGGGAGGAGTTTGTTTTTCTTTATATTGAGAAGCAATGCATACCAAAGGTTGTGGTCTTTGATCTTTATCAGTAAGAATTTTAAGTCCTCTTCCCTTTCAGCAAGCAAGGTTGTATAATCTGCATATTGCTGGTCATTAATGAGGCTTCCTTCAATCCTGGTGCCACATTTTTCTTTATTTAATCTATGTTCTCAGATTATTTGTTCAGCATACAGATTGAATCTGTATGGTGAAAAAATATAACCCTCACGCACACCTTGACTAATTTTAAACCATTCAATGGTTCCTTGTTTTATTCAAATATTGTCTCATGGTCTGCGTACAGGTTCCTCGTGAGAACAATTAAGTATTCTGGAATACTCATTCTCCACAACGTTATCCATAGCTTGTCATGATCCACACAATTGAAAACATTTGTGCAGTCAATAAAACACAGGTAAACATCTTTCTGGTATTCTCTGCTTTCAGCCAAGATCCATCTGATGTCAGCAATAACATTTCTCATTCCACATCTTATTCTGAATCCGGCTTGAACCTCTGGAAGTTCTCTGTCAATGTACGGTTGCAGCAGTTTTTGTATTTATCTTTAGAAAAATTACTTGCATGCAATAATAATGATACTATCCGATGATTTCCACATTCCTTTGGGTACTTCTCTTTGGAATGGGCACAAATACGGAACTCTTCCATTCAGTGATCCAGATAGTTGTCTTCCATATTTCTTGGCATGGATGAGTGCCTCCAGTGATGCATTAGTTTGTTGAAAGATTTCAATTTGTATTCCATCAATTCCCCATGACTTGTTCTTTGTCAATGACTTCAGTACACTTTGGACTTCTCCTTCGGTAACAGTGGCTCTTGATCATATACTACCTCTTGAAATGGTTGAACAGTGACCATTTCTTTCTGGTACAGTGGCTTTGTATATTCCTTCCATGATCTTTTGATGCTTCCTGCATCATTCAATATTATTCCCATAGAATCCTTGAATATTGCAAGTCGATGCGTGAATTTGTTCTTCAGTTCCCTCAGCCTGAGAAATGTTGAGTGTGTTCTTCTCTTTTGGTTTTCTAACTCCATATCTTTGCACATTTCATTATAATATTTGACTTTGTCTTCACAAGCTGTGCTTTGAAATTTTTCTATTCAGCTCTTTTACTCCCTCATTTCTTCCATTTGCTTTAGCATCTCTACTCTGGAGATTAAGTTTCAGAGTCTCTTCTGACATCCATTTTGATCATTTTCTTCTTTCTTGCCTTCTTAATCACCTTTTGATTTTTCCTGTATGATGTAATTGATACCATCCCACAACTCTTCTGGTCTTCAGTCTTTAATGTCTAGTGCATCAAATCTGTTCTTCAGATATCACTAAATTCAAATGGGATATGGTCAAGGTCATATGTGGGCTCTCATGGACTTGTTTTGATTTTCTTCATCTTCAGTCTGAATTTGTATATGAGCAATTGATGGCCTGTTCCACATCTGTCCCTGGCCTTCTATTGACTGATGATATTGAGCTTTTCCACTGTCTGTTCCCACATATGTAGTCAGCTTGATTCTGTTATTCCATATGGTGAAGTTCATGTGAGTAGTTGAGTTTTATGTTGTTTTAAAAAGGTATTTGCAATGAAGAAGTCATTGAGGAAATGGCCTTTCTCTGGCATGAGAAGAAGATATCATAGGAGCAGGGCTGAGTTCAGTTGCTCTGGACTGTGCTCCTATGATGTGCTCTCCATAGGCAAACAGTCTCAATGGCCATTTGTCAATTCTTCTTTCAAGGCCAGTGCTGATGTGGAGAGAGACTGGTGCTGGAATGAACATCATGGTGGGCAGGGGATGACAGCAACCTCAGCAACAGACCTCAGGTAGTAACAGGTATGGATGGAATGCCACTAGTGAGATACACTCCAGTGTGATCTAATCATCCAGCTTCTCAAACTCTGCACCATGATGGGGGTAGGGGGAGCAAAGATCAAGGGAAACCATCAGTAGGGTCTTTCAAGTGTGGAACTTCAGCTAGCAGTAACAGCAGAGTTAGCCTTGTCTCAGAACTCATTTGCTTCACTTAACTCTAAAGAGAAGAATGATGAAAAGAAACTTCTGGAAGGAATTATAAAAGATATGGATATTTGTAAATTATCAGGGCAGTGGGTGTTTTCTGTCTATTCACCAATGAAGGACAAACCTAGTATTTCAGGCATTTATTGCTATGAAATTCCCAATAAAGACGTCAGAAACTTAGTATTAAGGTTTTTCAATGACATAAAGGAAAACATGGAATAATTTTTGGAAGAAATCAGAAAAACAAGACAAGAACAAAATTAAAAACTCAATGAAGTGATAGAAACATTAAGTATAAAACAGCTATAGATTCTGGAGCTTAATAATAAACCAACAAAAATAAACAATTCCATGGAAGAGCACAAAAGTAGAATAGAAACAATAGAAGAGAGAGTTCGTGCTATAGAAAACAAAACTTTTGTGATTACTCCATTTGTAAAACAAATAGGAAGAGGAAAGAAAATTAAAGAGAGCATAAAGCTTCGGTGGGCACCATCAAGAGGAATTCCAAATGAAGAAGAGCAGACTGTTTGGCTATTACAAGAACAAGCAAGCTGATCACCTGGGAGCCATCAAGGCAAAAAAAGTCAGTTCTCAAGACAAACCCCCTTCCAAGACAAAAACTCAAAACAAACACACAAGCAGCAATCTAAGATCACTGGTGATCACATTGGTCTACTTGTGAGTGGAAGTGGAGGGAAGGCAGTAATGAAGACATGGGCTGAGTTCGACCACGTTCCATAGACTCCTGTTGGACCTTGAGATGAGAGAGAAAAAAAATGAAGGGCTGTTTGGTCTGAAGTTTGGGAGATTTGGAAACTCCTGAGTCCATAGACAATAACCTAGCCATGGTGGTCTAGAATTAACAATGAAGTGTCCAGCTAATATGAAGAGGGGGAGATGCACAAGAATGCCCAAGTTTGAAGATAGTACTCATTTAACCTAGATTGGATGGCTTGGTGATCAGAACTCGACTAGAGGAATGTAAAGAAATTTGATACAAGAAGCAAGTGTAAATTGCTACAATTTGATGAACTTGACCTATGGATGTAGTAGCTCAAAATACCAACCAAAAGGGAAGGAGTCTTCACATCAAGGATAAAGCCTATCCCCTCAATACACAGGGTTAATAGGGACAGGCAACTTAGACATTGGCTACCTAAAATGGGGGGTGAGAAGGTCTATAAAGGCACAAAGTGGCTGGCTTACAAGTTTTCAAGAGTGAGTTTAGTTTCAGAGCAGGTGGTGCAGTGAGGTAGAATCCCCACTGAATAGTTTTCATCTTTCTAGATGGGTCTGGTGAAAGGAGATGGGGATAGGATTCTTTTGATTCAATAGTGAGTAATCGTTATCATGACTAATTGCAACTGTCACAACTATAAAGGTAGAAGATGTGTGACAAAAAGGAGGGAGTAGTTAATCTTACATTACTGAAACAGAGGACCCTAGGACATCAAGCGGGAAGAGAATGAGCAGAACGTGGAATCTTAACCAGGGAAGCATCACCAAAATGAAGGCAGAGGTGATGGCAGAGAGAAAGCATGCAACTGAAGACTCTAGACTCATGAAAAGAGAAAGGCTGTGTGCTGGTGGGCAGGATGCAAAATGTGCCCTTTGGTTGTATAAATGATTATATATTCCATTTCATTTTTTACAATTTCCTAGATTCATACTTCGTATCCATGGTCCAATTGTTAATGAATGTTTACAGCTGTTTCTCTTCATTTTGAGTTGTGCTCCATCAGCAAATGAAGGTCCCATGGGCTTACTCCATTTGTGTCATCACAGTCAACTCTACTTTGAGGAGGCACAGTCATATTTTGAGTGACTTCCAACCTGAAGGGCTCATCTTCTGGAACTATGTCTGACAATATTCTGGTGTTCCTCATCATGTTTCAATATTCAATATTGTGATACTGACAGTGTTCTCAATATTTAGTTACTGACAGCATATATTCATAAGGTTGTCAGTAACTAAATATTTGGAAATAGTCTGTCTCTCCTTCTTCCTAGTCTGGCTTTGTCTGGAAGCTCAGCTGAAACCTATCTGCTGTGGGTGACCCTGCTGGTACTTAAAATACCTGTGGCATAGCTTCCAGAATCACAGCAACATACAAGTCACCACAGTACAACAAACTAACAGTTGAGTGGTTGATTTTGCCCCTAGAATTTCTCAGCATTGAAAGTCGAGACTTAAATTTTGTTCTTCAGTTCCCTCAGCTTGAGAAATACTTAGGGTATTTTTCGTTTTTGGTTTTCTAACTCCAGGTCTTTGCACATTTCATTACAATATTTGACTCTGTCTTTTTGAGCTGCCCTTTGAAATTCTGTTTAGTTCTTTTACCTCCTCACTTACTCTATTTGCTTTAATATCTATGATGGAGAGCTAGTTTCAGTGTCTATTCTGATATCCATTTTGGTCTTTTCCTTCTTTATTGTCTTAATGACCTTTTGCTTTCTTCCTGTATGATGTTCTTGATGTCATCCCACAACTCTTCTGGTCTTCAGTCGTTAGTGTCTAATGCATCAAATCTGTTCTGAGATGATCTCTAAATTCAGGTAGGATATGTTCAAAGTCATATTTTGACTCTTGTAGAATTGTTTTGATTTTCTTCATCTTCAGCCTTTTGCATATGAGCAATGGATGGTCTGTTCCACAGTCAGTCCTGACTCTGTCCACATACATTATGTAGTGGGACTGGAGAATGGCACTCAACATGGAGCTTCATGCCTGCTTGGAACTCTGCACATGGAGTTATGCTAAATTTCTGGAGGAAAATAAATCCCTCAATATTTCCAATGGCTGAATTAATCAGTCCAAAGAACAATGATAGCCTTTATTTCTAAACTGAACATAGAGTCACTTACCTATTAATATCACAAATTTATTTTGCTCCTTCATTCCAAAATTTTTCATGTTAAAAAAAAAAAAAATGTCAAAATGGTAACTAACTTATAGCAGGCAAGTATAAAGGAGCTCTGGTAGCGTAGTGGTTACAAATCGGGCTGTTAATCTCAAGGTCAGCAGTTCAAAACTATAAGCTGTTCCCTTGGAGAAAGATGAGGCTTTCTGCTCTGATGAAGATTTACAGCCTCAGAAACCCTGTGCAGGGTTGCTATGAGTTGGAACTGACTCCACGGCACAGAATCACCCCCACCACCAGGCAAGTATGACTGTTAATGTCTCTTTGCTGAGTCTCAGGAGGAAGATCCTGTGCTGTCTGTGATCACCTATGTGGGGCTAGGCCTCTCTTTGCTGTGCCTTCTCCTGGCAACCCTCACCTTCATCCTATGCAAAGCCATCCAGAACACCAGCACCTCAATCCACCTGCAGCTGTCACTCTGCCTCCTCCTGGCCCACTTCCTCTTCCTCATCGGGATTGATCAAACCAAGACCAAGGTACTGACAATGTCCCTAAGGACTCCCTGCCCTGCCCAGGAGAGACATATTGCACTTGATCCCATAGTCAAATGGCCTTGAGTCCCAGGAAGTTTAGACCAGTACATAGTCCTCACTCAACTAGAAAACCATTCCCTCTTGGCAAATCCTTCATATAATTTGGATTATGCCCACTGGCAAGCACAGAAGAGTCTCTAGGGACATACACATATCCTGACAGCCCCTCCTGATAGCTCTTCCTCCTCCCCCAGGTGCTGTGTGCCATCATCACTGGTGCCTTACACTACCTCTACCTGGCTGCCTTCACCTGGATGCTGTTGGAGGGCCTGCACCTCTTCCTCACTGCAAGAAACCTGGCAGTGGTCAACTACTCCAGTGTGAGCAAACACAGGAAGAAGCTCATGTTTCCTGTGGGCTATGGAGTCCCAGCTGTGATTGTGGCAATTTCAGCAGCATCCAGACCTCACTTTTATGGAACATCTACTCGGTAAACACAAAGTCCACCTTTGCTTATCCCCTCCAGCTTGACCACTACCAAAACCAATGTAGCATCTTGGTTATGCTAAAACATACCAGAAGGGAAACTTATAATAGCTAGGACATCTTTCTCGTGAAAGATTATAATAACTAAGGAGAGTGTCTTTAAATCTCCATCCTTAGGTGTTGTCAAGTTGGTTCCAACTCATGGTGACCCTATGTACAACAGAACGAAACACTGCCGGATCCTGTATCATCCTCACAATTGTCATATTTGAGCCCATTGTTGCAGCCACTGTGTCTGCCCATCTCATTGAAGGTCTTTCTCTGTTTTGCTGACCTTCTACTTTACTGAGCATAATGACCTTCCACTTTACTGAGCATGATGTCCTTCCTGACAATATGTCCAAAGTATGACAAACCAAATCTCACCATCCTTGACTCTGAGAAATATTCTAACTGTACTTCTTCCAATACAGATTTGTTTGTTCTTCTGGCAGTCCATAGTATTTTTAATACTCTTTGCCAACACCATAATTAGAATGTATCGATTCTTCTACGGTGTTCCTTATTCATTGTCCAACTTTCACATACATATGGAGCTATTGAAAATATCATGACTTGGGTCAGGCACACCTTAGTTCTCAAACTGACATCTTTGCTCTTAAACACTTTAAAGGACTCTTTTGCAGCAGATTTGTTTAATGCAATACATTATTTTATTTCTTGACTGCTACTTCCATGATCACTGATTGTAAATCCAAGCAAAATGAAGCCATTGCCAACATTCATCTTTTTTCCATTTATTATGATGTTATTCCTTTGTTGTTGTAAGAGTTTTTGTTTTCTTTTCATTGAGGTGCAATCCATACTAAAGGATTCATCAGTATTTCAAGTCTTCTTCACTTCCAGCAAGTATAAAGATCAAATCACAAGTGTCTAAGACATCATTGTCCTATCTACTTCTTTATTCAACTCCTGTATTGTTGCTATTGTTAGGTGCCATATAGTCAATTCCAACTCATAGCAACCCTGTGTGCAACAGAATAATACACTACCCAGTCCTGAGCCATCATTGCCCAGTTCTCACAATCATAACTATGTTTGAGCTGATTGTTGCAGCCACTGAAAGTCTTACTCTGTTTTGCTGACCCTTCCCTTTATCATGGAGATGTCCTTCTCCAGGAACTGGTCCTCTCTGACAACATGTCCTGGATATGCCATCCTTGCTTCTAAGGAGCATTCTGGATGTTCTTCTTTCAAGACAGATTTGTTTATTCTTCTGGAAGTCTGTGACACTTTCAATATTCTTCAATCTTTTTAAAAAAGAATTGATATTATTTTTTTCTTTAGTATTTAGTAGAATTCACCAATGAAACCACCTAGACTTGGCCCTTTGTTGGAAACTTTTTTCATTACTAATTTTTAAAGTTTGTTTGGGTTTACTCTGACAACCTCTTCCCTCTTAAAATAGTATCAGTAGTCTGTGTGTTTCTAGAAATTTGTCTGTATCATCTAAATTAAATAATTTGTTGGCTTTCATTCCTTATGTTAGCAATATGAGTCTTCTTTCTTTTTCTTGGTCAGTTTAGCTAAAGTTTAACACTTTTGTTCATCTTTTCAAAAGTTACCCATTGGATTCAATGATTCTCTGTTGTTTTCCTGTTCTCTGTTTTAGTTCTCCATTATTTCCTCTCTTCTGTTTGCTTTGGTTTTAATTTGTTCTGATTGTCCTAATTTGTTTTTAAAAATATATTATTGCTTTAAAATATCACTTCTTTATATATATATATGCATTTACATCTATAAATTTATTTCTAAGCACTGCTTTAGCTGTATATTATGTTTTGGTATATTGTATTTTCATTTTCATTTGTCTCAAAGTATTTTCTCATTTCCCAGGTGATTTTCCTTTTACCCATTGCTTGTTTGGGAAATTACTAAATTCAAGTTTCTTCTGTGGTTGATTTTTAATTTAATTCCTTTGTAGTCACAGATTGTGCTTCCACAATATTCTTCTCCAACTCCATAACTCAAATGAATCAATTCTTCTAAATCTTTCTTATTCATTGTTCAACTTTCTCATGCAATTTCTCTTAAGCAATTTAAAATACCATGGCTTGGGTCAGGTGCACCTTAATCCTCAAACTGGTATCTTTGCTCTTGAACATTTTAAAGAGTCTTGTGCAGCAGATTTGCCTAATGCAAAATGTCATTTGATTTCTTGACTGCAGCTTCCATGAGTGTTAATTGTGGATCCAAGCAAAATGAAATCTTTGACGCCTTCAGTTTTTTTCATTTATCATGATGCTATTAATTGATCCAGTTGTGATGATTTCTGTTTGCTTTACATTGTGGTAAAATCCATACTTAAGGCTGTGGTCTTTTATCTTAATCAGTAAGTGTTTTAAGTCCTTTTCACATTCAGCAAGCAAAGTTGTATCATCTACGTATCTCAGGTTGTTAATGAGTCTTCCTCCAATCCTGATGCCACGTTCTTCTTCATATAATCCATCTGCTCAGATTATTTGCTCAATATATGGATTGAATACAACCCTGGCACACAACTATCTTGATTTTAAACCATTCAGTATCCCCTTGTTCTGTTTGAACAACTGACTTTTAGTCTTTATACAGATTCCTCATGAACACAATCCAGTGTTCTGGAATTCTTCATAGGGCTATCCATAGCTTGTCATAATCCACAGTCAAAGGCCTTTGTATAACCAAGAAAGTGCAACTAGACATCTTTCTGGTATCTTCTGCTTTCAGCCAAGATTCATTTGACATCAGCAATGATATCCCTCATTTCACATCCTCTTCTGAATCCAGCTTGAGTTTCCGACAGTTCCATGTCAATTAACTGTTGCAGCCATTTTTCAATTATCTTCAGCACAATTTTACTTGCATCTGATATTAATGATATTGTCCAATGATTTCTGCATTTGCAATGTGCACAAATATAGATCTCTTCCACTCGATTGGCCAGGTATCTGTCTTCCAAATTCTGTGGCATAGATGAGTGAGTGCCTCCAGTGCTGCATCAGTTTGTTGAAAGATTCCTATTTGTATTCCATCATTTTCTAAAACTTTTTTTTCCCCACCAATATCTTCAGAGCAGCTTGGACTTCTTCCTTCAGGACCATCAGTTCTTGATCATGTGCTACCTCTTGAAATGGCTGAACATCAACTATTTCTTTTTTTGGTACACTGACTCTGTGTATATGTTCTATCTTCTTTTGAAGATTTCTGCATCTTTCAACGTTTTGCCTATGGAATCTTTCAATATTGCAGATTCACCATTTTATGCTAATGTAGGAAGAACACTGAATTGCATTAATGTGTGTAAGTATAGCCTTGAGCAATAGGTTACCATTTGCAATCATTAAAAAAAAAAAAAATAGTCATTAGGAAAATGCAATTCAAAATCACAATGAGATGCCACTTCATACTTATTAAAAAACAAAAACTGTCATCAAATTGATTCTGACTTATAGTGACCTATTTTTGGTGGCCCCAAAAAAACTCTCTTTAAAATTCAGCAGCTTATCAAAAATTAAAACCATATTCTATTTAAAATTTAAATCTGTTAGCACAGAGTTAGACTTCAAGAAATATCAATTTAGTACAGTTTGCGAAGTTGCAGGAGGTTATGCTTGAAGGACACATTCTAACATAGTGCAGCAGGTACAAGAAACATCAGATTTTATATTGCCAGGAGGTGGGGCTTGATGGCGGATAGGGTAGAGGTGCAGTGAAGATCTTCGTCAGCAATACCACAGAATACCAGGTGAAGTGGGTTCAGGGGAGAGCTCCAAAACTCTGAACCACATATGTAGGAATATTTTTAAAGTTTGAAGGCTTATAGCTAGTGGAACTTGTAGCAGAAGTAAGAAATCTTGTACTTTAGAATCTGCCAGGCTCAGCAGCCCAGAGCCAACAACTTGGGTGAGACCAAACAGCAAGACCAAGTGGGGGAGCAAGCAGACCCGCCACCAAACTAATGCTCGCAGAAACCTCAGAGCAAAGGTGACGATATTTTTTGTTTGCTTTGGTCTGGTTCTGATTATTTATTTATTTATTTATGTATCTGTCCTTTGGCCTCTAATTGTCTGTGCACCTCCATTCTGGTGACTAGAGGAGGTGCTTGAGTGAGTGCACACCGCCCACCCCCAACACTGGAGGGTTCTTCCACAACGCATGTGCACAGATCCTCTCAGTATTTAAAGGGACAGGCAGCTCAAAACAGCCACAGCCAGCCCTGAACTGTTTATTAATAGGGAAAAGGCCAGAACAGGGGGTGTGGAGAGGGAGAGAGTTTAAAAGCAAAACAGGCCAAAAACCAAATCCTGAGGTACAGCATAACAACCAATATGGCATCTTGAAATTTATCAGATGGTCTTGAAGGCAAGAAGTTGAAAGAGGATATTAAAGTCATACTCATATTAGACTACAGATTTTTTTTTCTCTAGCTTCTCCTTTTTCTGCAATTATAGACTACAGTATCCAATATGTTTTTTGTTTTGTTCTGTTTGGGGGGTTGGTTTTTGTTTTGTTTTGTTTTGTTTTGCTGTTGCTTGGGTTTTTTGTTTTGTTTTGTTTTGCTTTTGTTCCCCCTTTTACCTTTATCTCCCTTTATTACCCAATAAGAGACAGCAATTTCTGCCATACAGTTAAGATACAATCACACCCTATAAAGCCCCACAATCTGACAAGAAACAATACCAACTGCCATACACCAGGGAGGAAGACCTGCAAAAATTACTCTGAGTTAAGCAATAAAAAGAGTGAAAAGGGAAGCCCACATCCTGATCACATCTAACTGGGGGCAATCAAAAAACATCAAAAATACCAAAACACACACAAAATGAAGTATTAAGGCCACAGATAAACACTAAGCATGTCCAAGAAGCAAAAACAAATAACCATATCAGCACATGTCCAGAAACAAGATAAAATGTCTGAGACAAAT